GTTCCTGAGGATCATCCTCGTGGTTTAGAGAAAGAGACATTCCCACGAGTGTTTGTGTGGGGAGTGACATCGAGCCCCACTTAAGAATGGTCCCCTTTTGCTGGCTTTTTCAGAATTCTTTAATGGAATTTTTATGATAGAACAGTTTAATAGAATTGTTTGCACAATGACCTTGCTGGCCACACTGGTCACAGTGGCTGTGGCAACATTGTGGCTGAGGGAGCCTTGGTGATGGTGGTGGCCACGGCTGCCACAGTGACCACACTGACCTTGGAGCCGTGGTGGTCTCGTGGCTCAGATGATCCCAGTGGCCACTGCCAGGGCTGCGGTGGTCAAGAGGAGTCCTCCGAGGTGGAAGGTGGCCCTGGGGATGCTCCCACCTGAGGGGCAAAGAGGGGCATCAGGGGGACCATCAGGGTAGCAAGGGGGTCAGGGATGGCCATAATGGGAAGTTAGGGGTGATAGGTGAGATGGGGGCCATGAGGTGACAGATGACACGGTGTCAAGGAGGAACACAGGGCGGGTACCGGGGGGCAAGGGAGGTCAAGGGAGGCATTGTAGGCTTAGGGGTGACAGAGGTCAAGGGGAGTCAGGGATTGCCATGGGGGGTTACAGAGGGTTAAAGGGATGTTACAGGGTTTCAGGGAGTGGCATGGGGGGTCCTGGCCCACCCATGTTCTGTACAAAGGGCCCATCCCCACAGCACTGCCTTTATCAGATAGGGACAGGGTTGGTACCCTGGGAGGGTCCCTGTCTCTGTCCCTTTTCCTTGTCCCCTGGCACAGATGTTTCTGTGTCTGCTCCCTCCCAGAAGCGGGGATCCCCATCCCTGTTCTCTGTCATGGGTGTTCCTCTCCCTGTGCCCACTATGGGTGTCCCCAGACTTGGTGTCCCCAGCCCAGGGTATCCTTGTCCCACCACACACTGTGGGTGTCCCTGTCCCCCATCCCCAGTCAGTGTCATTGTCCCCTGTGCCTTATCATGGCCGTCCCCATTCCCCCAGGCTGTCCCCTGTAGTGTCACCTCCCAGCCATTCGCAGTTGTATTTGCTGTAGGTCCCGGTGGACTGGAGCTGGATCTGTGTCTTGTCCCCTTCC